ACTAGGAATACGAGACAGACTCTCGCTCGTCTACTGGATCAGATGTGACAAGAGAGCAGAGCAAGGGCCAGAAAGAAAAAGAAGATGTTTATTTTTCGATGCTCTTAGTCGATGCCATACAAGGTTCAAAAACAACGTTGTCATCTGATGTAATTCAATATGCTGACAGGACCCTCCCGGTTCCTTCTTTTCTCTTTTCTGTTCTTATGCTTCATTTTTCTCCGCTTCTTCGTCTTCTTCTTCTTCGTCCGCCCGTTCACCTCCAGACTTCGATGCAAGAGGGAAAAAGAAGCAGAGGACAACACCATCAGCAGCAGAGAAAAGAGAGAGAGAGCGAGAGAGAAAGAATTGACTAGTGAACGCAGCACGCCTCGCGAGATCTCTCTTCTTTTCTTGCGCGTTCTTTTCTCTAACCATGAGCTTATTCGATATGCTAGTCGTTCAGCAGCTCTGCCACTGATGCAGTAACGTCGTCATCGGCATGGTGAAGAGAAAAATTCTGTGCGCGTGATCTGTGCGCCTCGATGCACCACCAGCACCATTCACAGAGCATCAGACTTTCTTTTCCTCTGAAGTCGTTCGCAATGTCGAGAGAAAAAGAGAAGAAAGACGAGGAGGATGCCCTTGAATGCAAGCTGCGTTTTTCGTCGATTGCAACCGATAAACAGTCCTCGAATGATAAAAGGGCCAATTGTATATACATTCGTGGGTCATTTCGTTCGGCTTCCAATCGATTCGAGATAGTTAATGCAGAGAGAGCGAGAGAGAAATAGAAAAGTCATTGATCAAGAGGAGAGTGAAACTCCTTTTCGTCCTGTGATGCTTGTTAATCTCGTTGTGTCATTTCTTTTTTTCCTCTTCGCCGTCTTCTCTACTCTATATGTACGAGAGCACGAGGGAAGTTCGTGAGTGAGGGAAGAGACAATCCCTGTTCTTTTCATTTATCCGTCTTCGTTCTTCGTTTTTTCTCCTTGTTAAGCTCTTATATAAGCACATACATTCGTACATACAGGCATCACACACACACACACAGCAAATACTAAACGCGAGCACGACGCGAGAGACAGAGACAAGAAGAGCAGGTTACATTTCGTTGACCTTCGTTTCAAAATCAAACTTTTGTCTCTGTCGTCTGATCACATTCTATTGTCTTGTTTTGTTCATTGTCTCTCCGTAGACAAACATTAGTGATCACTGTGCTGTTGATCGAAAGGATAACGATGCCATTTATTGGACGAGACTGGCGCGCTAATGGTGAGCAATGGACAAAAACAGATATTGGCTCGTGGGAACGACCGAGACGCGTGTCTCTATCAAGTTCTGTAGGTTTTACTCGTCCACGGTCGATCTGTTCGTCGACTCTCTTCTCTTTAGTCCATTAATTTAAACTCCAGTCTCTCCGATGTATTCAATGCTCTCGATGTCGCCAATTCGGTCAGCAACATCCGACGGTTTAATTACATTGCTAAAGTAAGGCGAAGGTGAAATCGATTCGTGGAATGTCTGATCTATTGACGTCTGAAGGTTGTACAAATTCTCTTCAAAGAGAAATTAGGTGAATTAAGCGGTAATGCTCAACGCTCCCTCTTCCAAGTGATTGGACGAATGATCGACATGGGTAAGGGAAGAGACGAAGCTCCCGCTGAATTCGAACTTCGTCTGTGATTAGTTCTGAAAACGGGAGATAACATCTCGTTGATGCAACGAATCGTCACACAGTTCCATAACTCCATTCAGTCTGCTTATCCCTTCTACTATTACATCGGTTCTGCACCTTTGTGGCAACGACATGTTCAAATGTTAACGCGTATGCAGGAGACCATCAAACAAGTGCAAACGAATATGATTAAGACCGATGAAGATAATAGTAAATCGACCTTCGCCTGTCTGCCGTTCGAGATGCAACGCGAAGTCGTTCGCCGGCTCGACAATGGCACCGATATTGTCAATGTTGGCATGATTAATTCCAATCTCTATCGTGTGTCGCAAGAACTGTTGATCTGGCGGCAACTCTGTCTCTATCATTTCGGTGGTGATACTCAAAATAGTACGAACTCAGGATTAGGCGAGAAGATTCTCGGT